GGCATTTCCTGTCAGTAGAGAGTGGGAACCCCCAGGACTTTGCACAGCATGAGCACTGTGAGAACACACAGGCAAGCTAAAGTCAAGACAAGCTCGAGCGCCAGGACCCCCTCACTGTCACTGAAATCTGTTTCATGGGAAAAATATGTTCAACTAAAGAGGCAATGGTAAAAGAACTGTGGATCAAACCAAAGCCCAGTCTAGTTTTAGATTGGACTTACTAGAAATATAGCATTTAAAGAGCTCTCTCTATTTATCACCTGACCAAACTAAACCAGTGACAAACACCACAAGTTTTTATAGAACCAGAAGAAGTTATTTTTTTTAAATTTTCCAGCTGCTTTTTTGACATATAGACACTTTAAAAAATGCTGGCTGCATACTATTGCATATTTACCTTTGTTTGCTTTTCTAAAATGTTAATTTTTCATAATTATCCGCTTTTTTTTATAGAGTCTGCCAAACTATTATCTGCATTGTGTATGTTTGAATTGAATTGACTTATTTTTAAATATACTATTTTTTGGTTTAGAGTTAATTTTCACCCAAAGGTTATTTACAAACTATTTGTTTATTGTGGTGACTTCAAAAGTGAGGAAAAAAAAAAAAAAAGACTTTTTTCGCAGTTACACTACAGCTTTGTAAACCTTTTTACCTCGCCTGTGCTTGACCGATAACCTACTGTTTCATTCTGTTTTATCAGCCTTTTAAAGTAATCATACATTTTCACTACAACTCTCGTAAAATATTAATATTACGCAGGTTAAAATGGGACTTTAAATCCATCAACTAATTTAAGAAATATTGCTGTCTGCTCCTGTGACTTCACATTCAATGGCTATATTAATCAGTCCCGGCCCCCTAGGCCCAAACAGATGGCTTTAATAACTTGCTTAAAGCGGTCCAAAACTCCACAGATAACGCTACAGTAAACTAAACATCCATCTTTGGCTCTATCCGTTCCATTCCCCATGCAAACAGAGTCATTATACACATGGCTTCAGGGAGAGATTCCCTGTCACCCAGTCTAACCCTCTCCTCTCAAGGATTTGGATCCTTGTCATCTGTATTTCTAAAACTAGTCAAGTGACACTAATATTAAGTGAGCGTAACGGGTTCCAGCCACCTTGAACAATCTGACATTTAACCAGACTTTTCTCTGTCATCCAATCAAAGTGACATTCAATAAGTAAACATTTTTACAGGGAACCATTGTGTATCAGGCCCTAGCAGTGGTAGAGTGCCGTTTTACAAAATAAAAATGACAAAAATTGGCACTCTGTTGCCAAAAGACTAGGCACTTTGAACACTAGTATGCTCAAGGTAAGCTATGGAAAAAGAGGTACTGTCATTGCATGGTACATAGAGAAGTTTTGATTTAATCACAGTCAGATTTGTGCCAAAGGATTATAGTTTTACCTGACCCTTACACTTTAATTGATTTACAAGGTGGGTTTTTAATTTATTTTGGATTTCCATTAGAGAATGCGTAAAGTTAGCTTGAAATCAAAGACAAAATATGTTTTGCATTATCAGTAACCTAGAGAAAACTTTATTTTATAGCAGATTTATTAGTTCAAGGTGATTCAAGAATTTCAACACTAAAACTGTTTTTAAGTTTGGATGGCACATGAATATTATACAAGCAGCTTAAAAAAAATAAAGAAAGGAGTCCTTCTTATTTTTATGTTGATCTGCATTCGAAAATGAACAGTTTTTGCACTTCAATCAGCACTATTCTGTACCCAGAGTTTCTTTTATTCCAATATGAATAAATGAAATCCTTAAAACACCAAGTGTGAAGCATGGCGTAGACGGCTTAGCAAGACATTTTTAGTTAAGAAACGTTAAAATGCAAACTACATTTTGCACACATTAGACTGACTGTATTTGTCTTGTCAATGCAACATACTTCATTCACAATGCTTGCACATCATATGCATACAACTCTATATCCAGAAGCTTGTCCAGACATTGCTTGTTAATTGCAAACATAATCCTTTCCTAATAATTTGAAAGGCTTAATTCACTCCTAAAAGAGTGTAATTTGAGTGCTGCTATTGGTCTTTCACTGCATAGTGTTGTCATTATCATGTGGTGAATGACAATATGAAGTTTTTTTTTTTTTTTTTTTTTTTTTGCATTTGACCGATGGTTTCAAAAATGATTCAGTTTTACCATTTTTTGTAGCCCAAAAACTTGATTCCATAATCTCTGTAGAGCACGGAGAAACAAAACCGTTGGCCCAAATCAAATAATAGATACATGTGGTTAAACTTGGGCTGACCTGAGAAGGTTTGAAAGCACTGATATAGGAACCAGTGTGCTGAAAAGCTCCAAATGAAAAAAATAGGAAAAGCAAATTGTGGCTTAACAGAGCTGCAAATGCATCACCAAAGCACTTTCAGCAAATCTTGAATGGTAAACCTTACAAAACAACTGCAGACTCATAGACATGCATGTGTTGTTCCTTCGCCACATAGTGAAATAAAAAGCAATTTTAACTTTTTTTTTTTCTGGCAGTCACACTTTAAATTAAAAAGGTGTTGTTTTTCATGGGTGGGTTTGTTCAAATGTGATAAAGAGAGCTGCATATGAGGAATAATGCCAATTTCCATATTAAGTAAACAGAAAAACAGTTGAAAAATATGAGAACCAGAAGAGCAGATAAGGCAACAATAATGCGCTAATATGCCAAGAAATGACAAAAATGACCATCCAGTCCTCCTCTTTCCCGATAAATAAATTATATCACATGGTTTCACTTCGTGCACTCTCTTTGTGGAATCACGCTGATAGAGACTTTCACTTAAATGGTAAAAAGTAGTGAACAGTCGTCAACCTAACCATCCTCGCGCACTGCAGGTGCTTTTTATTGTGTACTTCTCGTCTGTTTGTTTGTGAATATCAGCCATTTTATTAGGACCCAGAGTGTAATGAAATTTAACTCAATCCTGCAGTTTGGAGATTAATTCAGCTTTTAGACAGTGTTATATTTTATTTATATATAATTGTATTGGGAAAAATCTTATATGTAATGCAGTTGTGTATACAACCTGCAACTATATATATATATTTTTTTTCTATGATTTGCCTATTTGTTTTTCAGGCCAAAAGTTACAGCTATTATGGTGTTATTTAAGTGAGGAATTTGACACACACACACACACACACACACACACACACACACACACACACACACACACACACACACACACAGGAACAAAAAAAAATTCTAATTGTTTCATTAGATGTTTTTCTCACCTATTTATATACATCTACTACACACACCAATTGGACACAGCTTCTTGGAACCCTGAAAAGTGGGCAGAGAGAGACTGGTGGGCAGATGGGCACTGGATAACGTCTTTTATTTCCACCATTGAGCAGTTCCACACCTTGGATAATAGGAGCCAATTCAGTTCAGCCCATAAAGAGGTTTATCAGTTCCTGTCAGCATGCCCTGCAGGGGTGAGGCGACAAATAACAAGGTAGTGAAAAAGAAAAGTGGTGGCAGTCCAGCTCCCTAACCTGTTTCCTCTCTGCCAATGGCCATCTGCATGTTCAAAAAAAAACTCTCATTTTTGCGCATGAATCGAGACATGCATTTAGAGTCGAAAGTCATGTTTGAGAAGCTTTAGAGGCAGATATTGAGGTCACATGATGCAGCTTGGATGCATCTCAGAAACGTCACAAAATGTCAAGCACTGTAAAGGCTGCCAAGTAAAAGATTATTCCTTTAAAAAAAAAAAAAGTCCTAACTTACAGGATTATTTGAAAAATGTTCAGTAGTAACTTGCAAAACATGATTCTTGTGTATATAAATAGCACAGCTTCTCCTAAATGTTTAGCAAGAAAAATACAAGTACAGTAAAGTCAGCTTTTAATATTTATGTTGGCGAATTTAAATACAATTAGTTTCTTTTGCCATTGTGTTCAGGTAAATGGGATTCACTCACTTTTCAGCACTTAAAAATAATGTATTTCTGGGAGAACTCACTTTTTAAGCGAGGGGTTCAAATTATAGCCCTCAGCCTGATTTGACAGGCTTGTCAGTTTCAAACTATATTTGCATCTCCTGTCTGGTAATATATGAAAAATGACTGAGAAGTCACTGTAGGTCTCATTAAAAAAATATAAAATTACAGCTAAACCAGATTTTAAAAATCTTCTTCCATTATAAATAAAAAAAAGTTAAAGAATAATAATGATTAGTAATAGAAGAAAAACATCCACAGTCACTATTTACTAAGTGAATAGTAAGCAATGAGATTAAGAACCAAGAATAAGCAAGAAAAAAAAAATAGTAATAAAATTAAATTTAAAAAAACTAACATTTTTGTTTTAGTAATTTACACTTTTAGATTTGTTTCAAGTTCCTTTTTCATTTTGAAAAAGTTTTGGAGGCACAGTCGTGAGAGCTCCTTCCCTGCGTTTGCCTTATGCTCGCTGGAATAAATTGGTACCATATGGCACGATGACAGGATCACTCAATCTTCTGTGTACCTGAACACCACATTAATCATTTTTTGGGGGATATTCTTTCCCTTTCATCACACAGGAATTTTCCAAATAGCCCCAGCCTTTATTTCTCTCACACATGTAGTGAATTTACATACACAGACTACACACTGGCCTTGTTAGATGCCAGACCGTTTGACCGAGTTCAAGCTGGAGCAAAACAAAATGTTAAGGTTAGGTGTCAGGTGAGACTTTCTTCCTGCTCAACATATTGACTTACTTTTCTTGTAATGCAGTTAAACTACAGACCTTGTTTAAATTAACTTTCCTGGATGAGTGATGACATAAAGATATTTAAATACATTTCATCTTTTGACCGGGTAAAAACACTTGAATGTAAAAATTATTAATTCAAAGGAAAAAAAAAAAACAACAACAAAAAAAACAATACCATTTAATTTGAAGTACAAAAACAGACAGAGAAATTATTGCATTATAATATGCAACCTTAAATGTCTAATAAATGTCTTTCCACCTACCTTTGCATGCTGTCTATGATGAAATCCAATGAGCATATGGAAAGAAATTTAAGCTCCTTCCACTAATTCAGGCTATCAGTTTTTTTTTTTTTGCACGGAGAAGGGTGCACAGAGTAAAAATGGGTGAAGTGGCCCAGAGGTGGGAAAGAGGAGGAAAAGAGACAAAATGGAGAGAAGGAAAGAGTGAGAAACGGGGGCAAAGAAGAAACTGTGGTCTTTATAGCAATGTCCGCTTGATGAATCAGACATGTCTTATTTGTTGGCCTCACTGCCAGGGAATTTGCATTGATTATTTTCCCCTCAACAGATACATTTAAATCAATGTGGCACAGCGCAGCCGGAAAGTGTGAGAAAATGTGCAAGGCGCTCAGTAAAAGCCCACACAGCTGTAACCTTGCTCGGACAGGAGGAGCCACAGCTCCCCCTTCATGCCAAATGCATTAGATCAGGACTAAAAGCAGGTCTAAATAGCAGAAGGACAGCACCTCCATTTCTGATCTTCTGGTGAGAAAAAAAAATAAAAAAAAAATAAAAAATCTCCTATCATACCCATAGCAAGATTTCTGTGGGCTAATATGTCTTCATTAACTGCAACGCTTCACATATTTGCCAACTTGTGTTTTTTCACAAGTTTCACAGAAGGTGTTAGATTCCTTTTTACTCAGTTTTCTTTTAACTTTTTTTATACTTATTTCACCTTTTCTCTCTTTTTTCTAATTTCTTCATCTGTCTTGAGATTTAATACGTATAGTGTTAATGTTGATTAGTTGAAATAAATCTGAAAAACATTTTGTTCCTAATCTATTTAGATAATAATAAATAAACAACAACAACAACAACAAAAATCTGAATGATAAAGTTTGACATTTTGTAAATTTTAGAATGAGCTAAAATGATCTGGTCAAAATGTCATGAAAAATAATAATCTACTTACTAGATAATAACAGTTTCAACCAAAAAGATTAATCTTCTTTTACACATTTGATCTAAACGGTCTTCTTTAAATAATACTTTGCAATTTCTGCATTTGGGAGAGAAATTCTTATTTAATTTTGTATTCATTACCAATTTTTCTGCAAAAAACAATAGATTTGCATCATTATTTTATCAAGTACCCCAAGTTTGCTCTCAAAATGTGAATAATTTACTAAATTTTGTCAGTAAAAAAGGTCTTAAGTTGTTAAATATTTGTGAAAAGATCCATAAACAATTTAGGTAGACCCAGTGTGGAGCTGGATTTCTCCAATAGTGTCATAAGAAGGTTTTGCTTTTAATATGCCCTTCATGGAAGTTGAGTCGAGGTCTCCTTTATCAAAGTCCTGTGCTGCCCCCTTGCAAGCGCAGAGGAAGATGGAACAAGGAGTCCTAACATTTTGAAAACACTGCAACCTGACACAAAGAGTGACTTTCTTAAACACTGGATAAAAAAGTAAATAAAAAATGATGGCAACTTTTTTCTAAAAATGTTGTGACACATTTTTTTTTTCTTTTAGATTTGATTGACTATTAAGCTGGAGGCACTAAATAGTGAGTTTCATATTCTAATTGGGAGGACCATTTTTAAACATAATCCAACGCGTACACACACACACACACACACACACACGCACACACCTACACACACACACAGGCAAGGCATGCCACTCCCAACCCTTCTCTCTATTTCTGTCTCCCCTATTCCTCCCGTCTCATTGATAATTTCTCTAGGAGCTTCAGCCTCTCACGGTAAGATCAAAGTGACTGTCACACACTGCCAGTGGAGAACATTTCGTGAGCATCTCCACCCGATATATTATTCCTATGGATGATGAAAGAGTGTATACGGAGGGTGGAGATGACGCTGTTACGAGGCAAATGCAGAACAGGAAACATGTGCCTCATCACACTGGGTTTGTTGGCGTAGCAAGAAGTAGGGGTTAGGGCAAAAACGCAGCAAGCCAATCAGTGACTTGCATGTTTTTAAAGTAGAATTGGAGTCATTTTCTTGCAGAAAGAGAAAAAAAAAAAAAAAAAAAAAAACTTTGCAAACTGCCAGTAAACTGGGATAATAAAAATAAAATAGAATAGTCCCACATAGTAGAAAGTATGAAAAAACAACAACTATCAAACAAGTAGCTTGCACACTACCTTCTATTTTATTTTTTTGTTTTCTCTGTAGGATTTAAAGTAAAGAAAAGACTCCCAATATCTCCTGACTGTCTCTTTTTTCTCTAAAAGGCACATCTTAAGTCAAACTAAAGCATACACTCGTCTCTCCCCTAGGGTGCAGTGGCAGTGGTGCAGAAAAAGTGAACTGCCAAGGACCCCACTGTTTAGCAAACACTCCTACTGAGGGGAGGAATTAATTATTCAGAGCCAAGGACCAAGGCAGCCCCATTTCATTGCACCACAAAAGAAAGGTCAGAGCTTTTCATACGAGGAACCTCCTGGTTTTGCATCCTGTCAGCTGAGGGAATGGGTATAGTATATAAGCCTGAATGACACTTTGCTTAACAGCTCAATTAAAAGGACAAGCTTATTTGGATAAGGATGTTTTCAGCAGACACGTGACAAACAGCAGCAACATCTTAGTCCCGCCGTGGAAAGACGTGAATTGCCCGGATGTGTGACCACTACTCCGAAATATAATTGCTGGTTGTAGGAGCAGTTCAGAAAACTCTGCAAGAGCTGATCATTACAAGACTTTTAAGACGAGAAAAGTAAATTCACAATAGAGCGAGTTAGAATGATTAAAATCCTGCAACACCTGGAAGCAGTGCGAGCAAGTCATTTCTTACTTTCTGAGTTAGCGTGTGATCCATTACATTACTACGTTTGAATAGTTAATAGGCAATAATGAGCCTCAAATCAAATTAATAACATATTATTTAATCTGCTGGAAAATGACTTTTGAAAGACTGAAAGATCACTTGTCAAAACTCTGCACTGACTTGACCAATTTTTGGACTCTGATAAAGTTTTGTGCCCTGTATCGTCTGCATAATCCAGACAAATTTCACGGAAAAAAGGCCAAAGCTTTCTCTCCAGCCAAAGTGAAATGACAGTCATCGAGTCACTCCGAGCTCACAATGCCTCCTTCACGGAGCAGATGACGAGCATACAGTAGCCATGCAACCAGAACCCAACTACAGAACCCTTTGGGAGGGGGTTCTGAAGTAAATCTGCCATTACAGTTGAATACTACTGAGGCCTCCCAGCATTGTGGTCCGTCACTATAAGTTATAATCTCTAAAAACTGGTGTGGTGAGCCCCAGCAGGGGATTAGGATGGGAGCCAGGATAGCAAATACTACAACCGTGCAACAGGGGGTGTCTCTCCCCTATTGGTGTGCCTCTATCCCAAACATCAAGCCCTGTATTTCTATTGGCTCTGTTCAGTGCACCTTCAGCCAATCAGCGATTCGTTAGCTCATCATTCCATGGAAACCAGGCTTGCCTGGGGAAGACATCAACTCCATTGAGCTCCCATCTTCTTCCAGTAAGTCGAACCACAGTGCTGAATGTAATTTCAAAAGGTCAAAAAGTAAAACAACCCGAAGTGAAAACAAACAGAGAAGCTCATATATTTTCAAGGAAGATTTACATATACATTCACACGTGCAGGTCAACTCCTTCATGAATTGCGAGGCCAAATCATTAATAGTGCTTAAGTATAATTGCCAGTAATCAAACAGAAGGTTGTGTTTGCAAACTGAGGTGTCTAAATCTTAACTGTATAAATTAGCCTGCTGATTTATGCTCCTGGAATATTATGGCTAGGCAGAAAGATACAGATTGAAAAGGGGATAGGTCGTTCCTAAGATGATTTCTTGCAGATGTTTCAGCCATTATATCTCGCTCTCTAAGGTCATTAATTTCCCAGGTAATAAACCCCTGTGTTGTTAGCGCCCCCTCCTCCCTCCAACCCCTCAAATCCCATGCAGTACAAAGCAGCTGGGTGTACAGTAGCATGTGTGTAGCTGCCAAATGGAGATGACAGTTTGCTCCATTGTTCATCAGTGAAACCACGGAGCCATGCTGAGTCTATAGCACAAGGATGAAAAATTAAACTCAACACCAAAAAATTAACATGCTGTAATACAGTCTGTTATTTGCCCCTAAAGAGACAACCATCATCACTTCAGGTCTGATACAAGTCTGTCCAGACAGGGTTTTAGCAGACTTATTGTAAATTAGAGCCAGACGGTTTTTTTTTTTTTTTTTTTTGCCGGTACTACACATGTAAGGATAATGATTTACAAGAAGGTCCTGACTGAAATACAATGTTGCCCTGTTTAAATCATGAAATCACTGTTTAGTTCTAGAAGTCATTCTTCAAATGACTTGAAAAACAAATAAACCCCATATTTCCACATTTACAAGCAAAAGCACCACTGCGTTCGACACGGATACTGTCATAGAGTGTAAGAGGTAAAACTCAATCACTAAATAGTGAATACTGTTTCCTACATTAACAAACAAGTATTTAATACTTGTCAGTGTGTAGATAGTGGAAATGATTAGGAGTTAAGCCTGCAAAACGTTTACCTCTACATTTCCTACCTTAAAAAAAAAAAAAAATCTCGTGAAAATATATGATAAAAGGCCTGAAGGCCTGATTTTCAAAACCTTTATTTAGACAAAAATTTGCACAGAAATAACTAAAAGAAGTTTAATGTTAAATGTATTTTTCTGGGCTGGACAAGCACTGGCTGTCTTAAAGTAACAATTAAAAACACAAATGACGTGGAACAAATACACAAACTTTCAAAAATTCTGATACTGTGGTGTTTTAGCTTTGGAAAATATTTCCAACATTTTTAAACCGTATTAGGTCAGTCTGATATTCCCATTGGCTCTTCATATCGGAACAAAAACAATCTTTATTCCAGTTGCATCTATCTCTTTAAATAACAATAAACACTAACAATATTTAAAGTTGTATTTATTTGTTTATTTTACATAATTTAAAGAAGACAGAAAAATTATTTTGTTTATGATTGTTGTTTGACTCCTTGCATTGTTATTAGCACTTACTTAGCTTGTTTATTTAGATAAAGGTTGTTATTTCCTTATATAGAAAGGCACTTTAGTTGTATATGTTTTTATTTCTTTGTCTGTTTTTCTTTGTTTTGGAAATTTCAGAATAAATTCAGCTGCAAAAGAAATATCTAAGGGTCCGACTAGAGGTATCATGGGCTATGCCATTAGATTCTTGGAGGGACTCCTCTCACGACAAATATGACCCTATTTGGCAGTAAACTCAATCTTGATAACAATATCAAATTACACTCCAGCATAATATATATATATATATATATATATATATATATATATATATATATATATATAT